ATGCCAGGTGATGGGGGTTCAATATATATCTGAATAGTCGTAACAATGTGAACACTAACTTCTTTTTTTTTTAAATGTTTACTTTTGAGAGTGAGACAGGCAGAGCATGAGCAGAAGAGGGGCAGAGAGACAGAGGCAGGCACAGAATCCCAAGCAGGCTCCAGGCTCCAAGCTGTCAGCACAGAGCCAGACGTGGGGCTGGAACCCAGGAGCCGCAAAATCATGACCTGGGCTGAAGTTGGACTCTCAACCAACTGAGCCACCCAGGTGCCCCTGTGAGCACTGACTTCTTAACCCATAATATGTGCTATAACGTTGGGGTATGGGGGTGATAATGACAACAGCTTAATCTTCATCTACTAGAAAGTCAACTGGAAATGTCTAAAACTGATGAGAAATAGAAATATCATTTTATTCACAAAAATTAAGCACTAAGGAATACAACTAGAGGAGTTCAATTTAATTGCCTTCAGAAGGACGAGGGAGGATTAGAGAGTGGGTGAAGGTGGGGATGGCCAGTGTTCACTCTAAACCCTTTTTAGAGTACAGTATTGATTTAAACACACACACACACACACACACACACACACACCCCCACAAACATACACCTTTTTGGGTGAAATCTAACAAACACACACAAATCACAAATCAACAGAAAAATGACCAGGATAATCAGTCAGTACAATCACCACCCAGGTCAAGACACTGTCTCCATGAGGCCCCCCCAGACCCTTTCAAGAACGACTCCCGTCCATCACTTAAAGGTAACCACCACATACTGGCTTTTACAGCAATTATTTTGTAGCTATTCTTCAAAGTTTTACCAGTTTAATATGTGTCTCTAAGGCTATGGTTTAGTGCTGAATATTTTTTGAGCTTTATATTAGTGGAACCAAAGAATATGTATAAATCTCTTCACTTTGGCTGAGGAGAAATTCTTAGTAACCTTTAAGGACAATCCCCCAGTTTTCACATTCTCCAACTCTTCCTTACTTACTGTAAGTGTTCAAATAATAACAGCTAAATCCTTTATAACACGCTTACTATGGGCCAGGTTTCTGTTTTTTGGATATTAACTCATTTAATCAACAAAACAACAGCCTAAGACAGATTTTACTGTGATCTTCATTTTAGAGAGAGGAAAACAGGCACAAAGAAGTGAGTTACCTTGCCCAAGATTACACAGCTAGTAAAGGACTGAGTAGGATTCGAACTATGTAGCCTAGAACTGGTGTCTATGTTACCTATAGTCTCATGAGACAAAGTTGTCAGTGAAGGAAAATTTTCAAGTATAGATAAAATGTTACTACTACTACCACAAAGATTAAAATGAAAACTGCAGGACAGGAGACCATCTGAATGATAGAGATTTTAGTACCTCACCCTTCTCTCTGACAAGAAGCTACACCAAAGGTAAACCACTTAAAGTGCCCAAAAAGACCTATGCACAGAAGAAGTATCCCAAAAAGTGTCTACGTGGGCCAAAGGTCTATAAGAGTATCTGGTCAAACATTAAAATTCTTAGTTCTGCAATGTACATAATGAAAAATTCTAAGCCTTGATTAAGTAGAGACTTCTTTCTAAATTAAGGCCCCCAAAGAGCCCAACATCTCACACAATTTAACTTCGCAGTAATAATGTCGAGCTGCTTCTTTTCTAAAACATCTTTCAGAATTAACTAGACTACAGTATAAAGAACAACAGAAATCATCTAATCCAGTCCTGTCACCTTAAGGCTAAGCTTACTGGAACGCAGAGAAGCACTTATCCCAAGTGACATACACTAGTTTGTCACCAGGATAAAAGCCCAAGGTCTCCTGACTTCTTTCCATTACACAGCTGTAGAACATCAATCCAGTTACAAAGCCTGCTGAGTAAATACCTCTACGATTTCCAGAAGCATGTCTCAATCATCTTTTCACCCCATCTCTTTCCCCTTCAAAGCCTCCTAACACTCACATTCCCTCATTCAACAAATACTCAACACCTACTGTGTGCCAGGCATCGTTCTAAGCACAGAAGTTTGTATAGGACGTTCTGCACAGAGCACAAAGATGCATTAGTCCTGCACTAAGTTTACAGTATAACCGCAGAGGTTTAGGGTAAATTATAAATACAAAGTGCTATAAAGAAAGACTGTAAAAAATATTCCCAAAAAAGGAAGAGAAGTAAAAGAGTTACAAATGTGACTTGAAGGATTCTGATAAGCGATGAAGTATGGGAGGAGTGTCAGGCATTCCAAGGTGGGAAGAGCAAAAACAAAGACCCTAGATAGAGTAAGAGCGCACAAAATTTTTTTGAAGAACAGCATCCACTGAGCTGGATCATGAACTGTATCAGCAATGAACTGAGAGAAATAGGGGTCATACTGGTGACAGGTCTGGTACTCCAGGCTGAAATATTTGAATGTAACCCTGCAGATGCAGTGACCACTGAAGATTTCTGAGGAACATAAAACTGGGATAGCATTTAAGATCAACTGAGAAGCAAAACAAAGGACGAGAAGCAGGAAATTTTAGGAAGTTTAGGAAATTTAGGAAGTTACTGCAACCTGAAAAGAAAGATACTGAGAACCTGAACTAAGCTGAAAGTGGGTATGGAAAGAAGATTAAAGCATTACAGAAGTAAAAATGGTATGCCATGACAGCTAACTGCATGTAGGAGGAAAGACAATTTGGAGCTTTTGATGGTAAAGAACTTCCAATGCATCATTAACAGAAAACAGGCAAGCTGAACTAAATATTTAGCTAGATGTAACCTGTTTACAGATTACGGTCTAAACCAAAGGAGAAAACATATTAATCTTATTTTGGAAAAGCAAATCTTCCCTTAGTAACATAAACATGATACACTATGACATGTAAGCTGCCGTATGCAAAAATCCCCAAATTGACGGAGTATCATTTGAAAACTGGGTGCTTGTTATGCTTAATACACTAGCATACACACACGTGCTAGAGTAAGTCGTATTTTTATTAAAATGTACATACTAAGCCTCAACATGGTAAGATGATGGGGTTGTATGTTAAAGTATTATTTAACAACCTCAAAAGAAAATTATTTGATGAATCAATAGCAAAATACAGCTCCTAAGCATTAGGAGGAGAATTACAACTGATCCCATGATACATAGCACAAACTAGCATTTGATTCAGTTAGGTTAAGTTTGGAACCATCAATTTCTTCTAATTAAATAAAACTCATGTGGTCTTTCTGCCTACCATTTAACAAGTAAACTGCAAGCTCCTTCAGGGCAGGGTTTATGTTCCAGACACCTCTCAGCCCCAGTGCTCAACATTTAGGAAGCCCCCCAACAGATCTTTCATACAAAAATCAATGGCAATCAACAAAAGAAGTTTTCTAGTATACACCACTCTCATAACTTGGTGCATATTACACAACAGCACAGAATGAATGGTCCGATATCCGCTACTATTCAACAGGTAATGGAATCACAAAATGAGTCACATATGGCTCCTCCCTTGAACTTAGGATCTCTCAAGTCAAACACCATAGGCTTCACCAGAAAACCTTGATTTGTACCATTTGTGTGACCATCAGTAACTCTCTTAACTAAAGCGTCTAATTTCTCATCTGAAAAACAGATGAGGACTCATCAGAAATGTGACAGGGCTCTGTAAAGTATCACAAATATAATGGATACCAGTTGGCTCCCCAAAGGACCCACCAAACTGATCAGACACTTCTTTGAGAAAGACATGGGCACATGCAAATCCAAACCCTTCACTGGCTCAATACAAAGTTGTCATCCTATCATCAAAGAAATCCTCAAAACAAACTGCACTGTAGGCAGTAGGTGAGAAACAGAATCTTAATAGGACAATACTGTTTCGAGAAAGATGATTTATAAACTTTCACTAGACAAATTTTTTTAAGTTTATTTATTTTGAGAGTGAGAGAGTGTGTGTGCGTGTGTGAGCATGAAAGGGGCGGGGGGGGGGGGGGGAATCCCAAGCAGGCTCCATGCTCTCAGCGCAGAGCCCCAACACAGGGCTCCATCACACAAACTGTGAGATCACAACCTGAGCCAAAACCAAGAGTCGGACGCTTAAATGAGCCACCCAGGTGCCCCTAGACATTTTTTTTTTAATTAAAAGTACATTTTAATTCGTTTGAATTTTGTTCAAAAATTCCTACTGTAATTCAAGACAGGATACCATTAAAATTCAAACTTTAAATAATATTTCTGAACAATGAAATAACACAAATACTTTATGGGAAATAATGCCTCCAGCACCTAAGACCACCTCAAATGAGTGCAAAACCCTAACGTTTCAAAATGTTAAGCTTTTGAAATACACTAAGAAATTTGGGAGAAGACTTAAATACTTCAACCGATCAAACCCAGCTTCTAACTGCACCAGAATAAGCTCCCAGGAAGCCATGCTATATATCCACAACACTGTTGTTTTCTTATCCACCTAAATTAATCCTTACAAGACAATAAAATGTATCATTTGAGTCAGCATTTCTTCACAGAATGTCAACCAACATCACCCTCTCAAAGTACACAAGTTAAAAAACAAAACAAAACAAAACTAAAAATCTTCCTTCAAAAAAGATATTCATTTTTGAAAAATGTTTCCGAGCTAAATGCTGATACGTATTTCAACACAATTATCTAAAAATGATTTACAAACATGAAAATGCATCATCGTTTATTTATACGAGAAATTTATACAGCCAGGAAACCTTTATGATACAAGCCTTAGATTTTTCTTGTGACGGTTTTAAATACATCATCATCCAGTGCTCCTTTCATTTAATAGAAATAAAAAATAATGATACAAGGCATTAATAAAAAAAAAACCTGAAGACTATTTTCCAGAAAGATGACTTTAAAACTGTTCCTCCATTGCTTATGCAATAAACACAGTATGTTCTTAACCTGGAACAGACTCAGCTGCAAAGAAATCCTTCAGTAATCAAGATTTTGAAGATTCCATATTCAAACTTTGCATTATTAAATGCTTTCTTACCTTCTGCTACGTCATCATCTACTGCTCCTTTCACCTGAGAAAAACACCACTGAATATCATTCCCTCCTCCAGCTCCTGGAAAAAGAAAACATACCAATTAAAACTCAGTTCTGTTCATGTTTACTCTCGTAAACACAGAGATGGTATCCATGGTTGGCATGATACTAATAGCCTAGTACTGCCCACACATACAACCACCAGCCCAGAGCATTAATTCGGAAGGTTAGTCTCCAATAGCTGGCACTGCATTTAAGGAGAGACAGAGATCCCAGGTAAGAGATAATCTAAAGGCCATGTACTACCATTAACATTGCACATGTGTTCAAAACTTCCATTTTCCCTTCCCCTCAAAGACAGTGAAAGCCTTACAGTCACGCAAGACCTACCAGAGAAAAGTAAATACCACCAACTAGACAGTTTTCCTTTAAGCCTACAGAAGGGTTAATAAGGTTAAGCTACCATAAAACACGGAACGAAGAGAAAACTTCAGAAACATTACTGCCCGGGTGAGGAGTAATGATTCGTGTGAACCCAATCACCAGAGCACACACACAGCAAACACAACACTCACCACCCATTTCTTTGCATTTCATTACCAGCACATCACGGGCTCCAGACAGGAAAAGAAACCGAAATAAATGCTCAAGAGCCTGTCAGAGGAAGCTTGTCTTGCCTCCCTCCACCTTATCCCTCAGAGTCCAAAGGACCTTGCAAACAATTTTGCTCGTTTGTCATCATCTTGTGCAAAACAATTTTAATTTCACTTACTCGACAAGGCCAAAGGAGCAACTTGTTTACAGCAAACCCTAAGTCAATCCAACATGTTAACTTTTTTAAAGGTTTGATTATTTAAAGATTATCTAAATATTAGAAAACGCATGGAGAATTGGTTTAGTTCCTCAATGTTTCTATTTCACTTCCAAGCACTAAGAGGGAAATGCCCTGGCTCTATGAAGGAAGAAACTGAATCAAGAACTAGAACTGGTTCTACTAGAAGCAGGAAGATACTCAGCAACATCAAAATGTACAGAGATAATCCTCAAAGCAATCACCTTTTCCTTCCTTCACCATCATTCCTTGCTAAATATTCCAAGCCGGTTTTCTCCATGCATCCTTCCCCCCCCCCCCCCAAGCTTTTACCTAAATCAATCCCCTTGGCTATTTATATCGCTGAACTCCACAACTATTTTAACTAACTCCACGAAACCCTTTTGGGAAAAGGACATCTGCACAAAAACTAACATACAAAACGGAAAGTTTAAATCACATTTTTCATGCAACTTGGTGGATTAACAAGGCCTTGCACTCTTTGGACACGAAGGGTAAGAAACGAAAGGGAGCTGGTTCGAGACAAAAAATAAAGGTTCATGGTCTCAAAAATACATGTATCCACAGTGGGGAAAAAATGCACATAGGTCCCCATTGTATTTTAACTTGTAAGGCACTCTTCCCTCTCAGTACAAAATACATTAGTATAAACACCCAAGAAGGCTTGCAGCAGGAAAAAAAAAAATTGGAATTATATGGAGAAAGATCCGTATAAAAAGCTCGGGGCGGGGGGGGGGGGGGGGGACCCGGGGGCGGCCCCGGGGGGGGGAGCAGAGGTTACACCGGGTCCAAAGGAGTAGGAACAAATCTGCACTCGCCCCCACCCCGCCCCACCCACGCCTTACCCCTCGGCTCGCCAGCACACACCCCACCCCCACCCATGCCAAGGTTCCAGCCCTCATTTAAAAAGCCATTTAGGTATCACTGCCGCCCCTCGCCTCAACAAACCCTCCCCACCCCCACCCCACCCCACTTGACCAATTCCCTGAAATCCAAGGGGCGCCCCGTGGCTCTACGCGAGGCACAGACGGTCGCTAGGGGGTGATGGAGGGAGGAGGAAGGAAGCGGTGCCTTGTCAGTGGACGAGGGTGATTTCTCCTTTACCTGCCATGTTGCGCTGCAAATGGTGACCCTGCTGGGTTCCTCGGGGTCGCCGCTTCCTGAACTCACCCCCCTCACCTGGGGATGGGGGGGTAGGGAGGGCGGATGGCGGCGGATGGCACCTGTGGGGGGAGAGGGCGGGGGTCGGGGAAGAAGGAAGGAGGGGCGGGCAGACCAGTCAGGAGGATGGTGGATTTCACTCTGGGGCTTCCCCGCTCTCTCTCCTTCTCCAGCAGTGGCGGCGGCAGCTACGACAGGGACGGCGGCGGCGGCGGCAGGGGCAGGCGACTCTACTTTCAAAATGGCGCCGGCTGGCCTGGCCAGTGACGTCACCCAGGGGCGGAGCGGCCGGGCCGGGCCCGAGGGGCGGGGCGGGGCGGGGCGGGGCGAGGGCCGGGGCGGAGACCAGAGGGGGCGGGGCGGGGAGCGGCCGGCCCGGCTCCTGGCTCCCGCCCCTTCCTTCTCCGCCTCGCGCTGCGCCGGGGCGGCCTGGCCTTCGCCGCGCCCTGGTGCGCGAGCTGCCGGTCTGGTGTCTTGCCGCGCTCGTTCTCGTTCTGCCCTCTGTCCCTGGCCCAGTCCGCGGTCCCGCGCACATCAGTGGCCCAAACCTTCGTGTCTGTGCATGGATTCCCGGGCTGGCTCAGCCGTGCGGTTACCGTGCTCGCTCGCGGTGGATTCGCGGGATCCTGTGTCTTTGAGCATACTGTGTTTCTACTCAAAATAGTGACACTATGGCCGATGAAATAAAAGACCGGGTGGGGGGGGGGGGGTGTGCAGACTTGCGGCTCGGCCAGGGGAACAGTTCCTGGGTCTGAGAAAGACGCAGCTGGGCTGGTTCCATCTGGGTGAAATAAATTACCTTCTGATGGGCCCCGGCAACTGAGGCAAGAGCCCTTGGCGACTGAAAGCGGTTCAGTGTTTTCTGAACAGAAAACGGAGTTTGCTAGTAGCAGAACATGGCCGAAAAAAGCGGCCCAGGTCTGTCCTGCCGAAAAAGTGGAAGCGGTGGTTGAGGAAAGAACTGGGCCCCGAGGCCAGGCTGCCACATGGTGAGGCCGTGATGAGATGCGGGTAACAATCCTACCTCATAGGATTGTTTCTAAGATTAAGTGATTTAGAATACGTGATAAATGTTTGCTGCTGTTATTATTAGATTTGTATCGAAAGCATCTTCAGTAGTTAAGAGGTATAAGGAAAACGACCAGGAAACACTTGTCATCAGCCAAAAGGAGATGTATATGTACGTCATTGAAAGATGCATTAATGATGCACTCACTATAAACTGGACGCTTTGCAGATCTCCCTTAATCCCCACGATGCTCCAAGGAGACAGATTTCTACTTTGCACGTGAAAAATATCTGTAAAAATATCCAGAATTTGACCTTAAGGCTGAAAGGAGTGGTCAGGCATTGAGAGACCAAGGGGAAGTTTATAATTATTTACACCTTCTCTCCATTATCTCCACTCTCTACCTTGTTCTTGATTTCCAGAACAGTTCAGTTGTAGAATAAGTCTCAAAATGTCTCCACTCAAAAAAGCTGTACCATTGTATTATTATTCCTCCATTGCTATGTTAGTATTTCTCACTTAACCAAAGAACAAACCCAAACTAAAAACCCACCCTGTATTTTCATCTTTCAGCTACCTGTACAAACAGGTACAAAACTTTAATGCACTGTGCTGTATGTACTTCTATTTTGGCTGATTTTGTAAATGCATTTCTCTGCATCTGCCTTTTGTTACTTGTTTTCCTTTTTACGTTCTCTGCCCTTTGTTTAATAATTCAATCCGAGGCTCTCCAGTGAGCCTCAATCAGAACTAAGAGGGAGAGACAAAGAGAGAATGAGGGACTAGACCAATAAACCAGAGGATTGGAACCCCTATACGTAAGCCATTTTCTTCAGTTTTTGTCACGTGTAAGATTGGTATATTCACACTTCCTGAAAAATGATTTGGTCTACATAAATGATCTGTTCTTCTGGGAAGCCGGTAAGGCTTGCCTAGAAACTGAGATAATTACAACAAGTTCATATAGCACTATGTGCTGGGTACTGTTCTAAGAACATTGTATGGAATCTTGGGACAAGCTGAGATGGGTCCAGTAATCAAGGATCAGTGACCCTAAGCAGTAATTTCAGCGGGCCACAAGCTGCCTCCCTTTCTTCTGAATGGCTCTTGGGAAGAGAGGCCCAAATACCTATTAGCCCAAAGACAAGGGTTGCTACTGTAGTAGGGCTCTGTCCCTACCATTTCATGAAAAGGCACCAAGGTCACTAATGATCTTCCAATGGCTCACTTTGGTTTTCTCTTTCTCTGCTTCCCAGCAGCATTTGGAACCACTAACCATCCCATGCTTTTTTGAGACCCTTTTTTTGCGTGTGACAGGATTGGTTTACCTCCAGTCTCTCTATACACCCCTTTCAGGGCGCTAGCTCCTTCTCCCAGACCAGCCTCTAAATGTTAGGACGATATGTCTTCCTGGTCTCTGCCCTGCATATGCTTCTCTGTCCCAGGCAACTTCATCGAGTATTTATAGGTGTAAATACCATGTATATACCAGTCCCTGCCAAATCTACATCTCCAGCGCTGTCCCCACCCTGAAACTGCAGACACACACTTCTACCTGCCTGCTTGACATTTCTACAGATGTCTAATAAGCACTTCAAATAAGCACTGGCAGAACATAAGTCTTGATTCCATGTCTTCTTCATATCTAGGATGATGCTAGTTTTCCCCTGGAGTGTCACCATCTACTCACCACACCCCTGCCTCAACAGTCCCACTTACCCATCTCTCTTTCCTTCCTCAGCCAGCAAAACTCTTTCTGATTCTTTAAAAACCAATTCAGATGTAACTGCCTTCAGAAAGCTTTCTCTGATATGTTCCCTCATTCCCTACCTTCTGAAACAGTTTCGTAAAATCGAATGTACTTCTCTCTTACGAGATCATGTTAAAATTATCTAAATATGTGTCTGTTACTAGACTGAGTCTTTGAGGTAGGAAATATGTCTTATTCATCTCCATATCACCAACCACCTAATTTACTGGATTAACCAATGAATGAATAAATCTCCCTGGCTTGGGAAGGAAACCACTGAAGTGTCGCCTCCTTAAAGCTTACTATGTCGTGGGGTGCCTGGGTGGCTTGGTCGGTTAAGCATCCGACTTTGGCTCAGGTCATGATCTCGCAGTCCGTGAGTTCGAGCCCCGCATCAGGCTCTGTGCTGACAGCTCAGAGCCTGGAGCCTGTTTCAGATTCTGTGTCTCCCTCTCTCTGTGACCCTCCCCCGTCCATGCTCTGTCTCTCTGTCTCAAAAATAAATAAGCGTTTAAAAAAAAAAAAAAAAAAGCTTACTATGTCGTGAATGTTTTCACTCACCCTTCCTGACCCAGGAAATAAAAGGCATTTTACACATTATCTTGGTCATTCGGATCTATATCTGTTAAGCGTGGTTGGTTAAATATGTAAGTTGTTTATAGATAGATTCATCCCAACTACTTCGAACTGGTCCTTTGTCCCTGAATACATATCATCCAAGAGAATCCCATAGGACATCATTCCCTCATCCACATGATCCACACACATTCACGTAAACATTTTTTCACGTAAGCCCCTCACCAGAACTTCAACACCTAACCGTGTGTAAGATGCACAAAATAATAGTTCCCTGCAAAACTGAGTTCAGCCTAGGAACACCAAGAGGAAAACTCTTCCTGGTAAGGCCTCGGAGAATCTGAGTCTCAAAGGTGTTTTGTTTCAAATCTAAGCTGAGAGGTACTAAGGACACCCACAATCTCAAAAAAGAATGGAACTAATGGGATCTTGCAAGCTGGCTTTTTAAAGAATTTTATAGAATGAGGGGAGAATCACTTGAAAGTTGTGTGTTTCCTTGGAGTTAAGATGAATACAAAGTCTCCTCCACACTAAATGAGAAGTTCAGATGCTTCTCTCCTCTAGGCAGTTAGAATTAGGGGTGTCTACACCTGGGTGGCTCAGTTGGTTAAGCATCCGGCTCTTGATTTCGAGTCAGGTCATGGTCTCACAGTTTGTGGGTTTGAGCCTCACACTGGGCTCCACCCTAACGGTGTGCAGAGCCTGCTTGGGATTCTCTTTCTCCCTCTGTCTCTGCCCCTCCCCTGCTGGCATGCCCTCGAATGCTCTCTCACTCTAAAAGTAAATAACTTTAAAAAAATTAAAAAAAGGAGATTATCTCTCTGCCCCTCCCCCTTTCTCTCTTTCTCTCAAAAAAAAAAAAAAAAAAATTAGAGGTATCTAGGAAGGACCATGAACTCAAGGGTAAAAGGAGAGTGATACAATTTAAAATTTTGACAAACTACTTACAGCCATGCTTTCTAACATGGAATATGCTCAAAGGCTTTATAGGGGAAATTATAAGCAGATGTCAGCTTTTTACGTACGTCCTTAATATCTACAAATTTGGCCTACAAGGCAGTTTTCCAAAACCCTGCATAGTCTAGACTGTATTGACAATTCAGGCCACAATGTTCAAGGTATAGTATGCACTATCAAATCATGAAAATATCCTACACTAGCAGGTGTTCAAAAATAACAATAGTGAAGCCACCAGGAGGATTATTATGTAGTCAAATGTTTGTAAAACCAGAGGAAGTTGCTTATGCTTTAGGAACAGGATACAAAATACAGATACAATATGATCACATTTGTACAACAAACATACACAAAATACATAGAGCTGAAAAAGACAGGAAGGAAATGTACTAAGGTGTTCACCAGAAATGTCTCCAGGCAGCGGCAAACTGGCAATTTTTTTTTTCTTCTTTGACATTCGTGTTTCTCCAAATTGTCTATAATCAGTATATATTAAGGGAAAGAATAAACGGAATTTAAAAAGTCCTTTAAAAGTCCACTCTACTGCTGGTATAAGAGCCTGATGATAAAATCTATGTTATAGGTTTTCCACATTAAAGGAAAAGTTGCAGTCCATTATAGCTGTGTTCACAGATATGATTTAATTCATGGTTCAACCATAAAACAGAGAAAGAGTTTCTTTTCGTCTCTTAATAGTGTGAATATTTAAAGATGAAAAAAAGATCTTCGTGAGTAAACTCATGTCACTAACCTTGAGTTTGTAAATTGCAACTGAAAATGTTGTTTTATGCTTTTGTTGGAGATAGTCTATAGATATATAGCTGAATATCTCTTCGATATGAGATGCAAACTCTGTGAAATTAAACATTATCTCTGAAATCTATTTTCAGTATTGCTTATTAGATGATCATAAATGCTCTGCAATGTTGACAAACTATTATCTAAATGGCCTGTTTGTTTGA